GCTAGTTTTTTGTATTTTTTAGTAGAGACGGGGTTTCACCGTGTTAGCCAGGATGGTCTCGATCTCCTGACCTCGTTATCCGCCCGTCTCGGCCTCCCAGAGTGCTGGGATTACAGGCGTGAGCTACCGCGCCCGGCCTTTACTTTGTTTTAAACATTTACATACATGTATATTGTATAAATATAATCTTTCTTAGGAAGTGAAAGAGGATGTCATCATCAGATCAGGGTTTTGGATATGACCCTAAAGAAGAAAGCAGATGAGAACATCTGACCGCGAAATATGAGCTGAGAAAAATTCACAGCCTAGAGCACACCGGAGCAAACAACTGAAGGTAAAACCAATTTCCAGGATACCTGAACTCAGAGTGGATGAATGCAAGAGGGTAAGGTGGGCTCTGAAGCTATAGTCAGGGTCGTGAACTATACCTGAAAAAAGATGACCTGTCAGGCCCCTCCCCACATTCGGCACAGAACACACAGTAGCCGCAGTTGTCCTCAGGGTAAGAGTCCCATATTTACTTACTAAGAGACATTATCTGAGGAGCACAGCTGGGCAAACCTGATGTTACTGCAGACAATAATTCGGGCAAGATGGGATGAGTAAGAGGATAAGAAGGACTTTATTTATTTATTTATTTATTTTGCCTTTGAAATGGGAGTTTATAGTGGGCTCTGGGATTGGAAAAATAAGGCCAAACCTTAGATGAATTAGGATCCCTCCACCAAGTGATACAGGGACATGCATATAGAAAATAAGCTTCCCATACACCTTGAGCAGCCACACACCCCACTCCACCTCCACAGTCACTTGAGGTGCAGTGCCATATACCGACCCACATCCACCTAGGGAGACAGGGATTCTCACATTAAAAGATAAACATATTACCAATAATTGTCAGATTTTGAGAAAAGAGGAACAAAATGGCACAGAAGCTTCCAACTTAAACCATAAAATACCTAAGTACGGAGACAAAAAAATAAATAAATTAACACAAGTCCACTGTCCTCAAGAGTGACCAAAGAGGAAAAGAGAGACCTGATTTACTTATCTTATGAGCTCATAGGTAAAGAAACCTTTCTAGATCTCGGAAATTAAACGTACAATTAGCATTTAAGGTAGTGAGGTGAATAAAATTTACTTTCCAAAACCCAAATGGAAAACAAGAAGAATGAAAAACGGAAAGGAAAAGACTATCTTTGTTTAAAGACCATACACTGCAGGCCTGAGTCGCAAATCCATGGGAAAATCAAACGAGTGAGGAACTCGGCAAGGGAAGACTCTTACTGTAATTTTTTTTTTTTTTTTTTTTTAACGTCTGAGGTACTAACATAAAAGTTCCTTCTTCAAAGTTAATTAAGTGGTTAGAAAAATATATATATATATACCGGCTGGGCACAGTGGCTCACATCTATAATCCCAGCACTTTGGGAAGCCAAGGAGGGGAGATCACTTGAGGCCAGGAGTTCAAGACCAGCCTGGTTAACATGGCAAAATCCCATTTCTACTAAAACTACAAGGAAGAAAAATTAGTCAGACGTGATGGCACATGCCTGTAATCCCAGCTACTCAAGAGGCTGAGGCAGGAGAATCGCTTGAACCTGGGAGGTGGAGGTTGCATTGAACCGAGATCGCATCACTGCACTCCAGCCTGGGCAACAGAGCAAGACTGTCTCAAAACAAAACAAAAACAAAACCAACTACCCATTGTGTGGGATAACAAAATAAGGCGTCTTCCTGTATCTTGTACTTAATGAAGGGGCATGGGGGATAGATAGCCCATCTTCACATGGTGACCAGTATGCGTTGTCTTTGTGGTATAGGTTAGGCTGGTGTGTAACAAAGTGATCTCAAAATAGAATGGGTGTGCCAATATAGAAATGTATTTGTCACGTAATAGCTTAGGGTAGTCAGGTAGATAGACATCTTTACTCTTCCAGGTTATACAGTGACCCAAGTTCTTTTTCTCTTGTCCTCATCATCCCTGGCATCTCCAAAATCAGAGTAAATATGCACTGTTCCTCATTAGGTGTTTTCTATAAATGAAGTTTAAATACCCATTTTCTTCTCTTATGATTTACTTTCCCCTTCTCCTGTGCTATTCAACAATAAAAATAACTTATTTCTGGATTTAAATTTTATTTTTCTTTTCACCTGTGTTATTGATGATCAACAGGCTGGTACGGGGTTCCTGGGGAAGTTGTCCAGGAGACAGAAAATACAATTCGGTTTTAAATTCCCAGTCGATCTTTTCATTTAGCATAGCATACATTATATTTTCGACAATCAAAGGGAATATTGCGATTCCAAATACCAATAATCTAAACAACAAAGAAACATTAGCATATGAATCTCTAGGAATTTTATTTATTTAGTAAGACATTCCACAAGTATTTGTTGAGTGCCAACCCTGCCTTATGCCTATCATGATTTGGTACTAAAATTCTGAAGGTAATACCCTAGCACGCTACACAGTACCAGAAGGCATTACCATATAAATACCAGGTTATGAAACCTTGAAAACAAAACACACCTGCATGTATAAGCCTAATCGAGTGTGAACATTCAAGTATTCCCACTGTCAGAAAACTTAAATGCTGAATTTGTCCACCCCATGGCAGGAATGTCAGATACTGTGTTCAAAATTATCTTCTGGTTTGAACCTCTTTTGAAACTCATGATCTAACAAAACCACAGTACTCTGCTACTCACAGGGTCAATAACACTTTCGTTTGACGTTTTAACTTTAAGAAACGGAGCCGCGCCATGGCAAAGACTTGCATTCTCCAGAGGCGCATGTCACTCACAGCTGTCTCCATTTCAGAGAAGGAAGAGTGAGCCAGCTCCATTTCATTGAGGCTTTCAGAGTCTCTTATCATCTCCACTTCTTCGAAATCTATACACACACACACACAAACATGCATATTATAATATTAATGCCATCCTGGAGGCATCACAGATTTTCCTTAGTAATATTGAAAATAGTATTACATGGCCAGGCGTGGTGGCTTACGCCTGTAATCCCAGCACTCTGGGAGGCCGAGGTGGGCAGATCACCTGAGGTCAGGATTTCAAGACCAGCCTGGTCAACATGGCGAAATCCTGTCTCTACCAAAAATACAAAACTTAGCCAGGCCTGGTGGCAGGCACCTGTAATCCCAGCTCCTCAGGAGGCTGAGGTAGGAGAATCGCTTGAACCTGGGAGGTGGAGGTTGCTGTGAGCCGAGATTGCGCCACTGCACTCTGGCCTAGGAGACAGAGCAAGATTCTGTCTCCAAAAAAAAAAAAAAAAAGTTTTACATTTGTTTTATTTTTATAACCAATTCAAAGGAATTATTTAGACAACATTTTTCAATATTTATTAAGTTTATACTTCACCACTGCCATCTATATTTTCTTCCTATAGTTAAGTTTGTAATTGCCAATGGTGATAAAAAATTAAAAGTTTAAATCAAATAAAGTTTTAGATTGCTTGTGGTTACAGTGCAAACAATATAAGAAACATGTTATGATGCCCATATTCTATACTCAGTGAGAAAATATGCTGAATTCATACCAAAAGAATAATTCACAAAAATGGTGATCTCATTGTGCCCAATATTTGAAAAGCAAAGAAATTCCCAAGAGTATCATTTCTTGGAAGGATTTTTAAGAAATCTTCTGCATAAAAATAGCCAATTGTTACCACCTAAATATCTACTACTAAGGTATCAATCATTTAGTAGTATAGGGGAAAGATCATCAGCTCTGAACTGCCAGATCTGTACATGAGTCTTACATCTGTGATTGGGGAAAATCACTTAACTGCTCACAGGTCTGATTTTCTCATTTGTAAACCAATGCCAATGACACTTCTTGGAAAGGTTATTATAGGAAGATAATGTTGAAGGCATATATATCAATACATACATTAAGCATAAGAGGAGCTCCATAATGACAACGATTATTATCACCCATTAAAATATACAAGAGTGGATGCTGAGAATTCTCCCCACTAAGACCTTACTGGAATTTTGTATATTAACAAGATAAAAGCAATTTTTATCTTAAAAAAAAATCTGTTCAGACCTCATTCCCCTCATTAAGAGCCTTTCACAGCCTGAAGGTATCTAAGAAGCAGGGAACATCTGAGGATAGGAAATAGTTTCCAAAAGAAAACTTGGTAGACTCCATGAAGGGATCTGTGATCAGTCGTAGTAATGATGCTAAGAAATAATGACAGCCCATCTCAAACGGCAGAGCCAAATTTGGAATGAAATCACATTTCTCAGTGTGAATCACCCACAAGAAATAATAAATACTAAATTGACACATGATCATTTGGGAAGTGGTTTTCTGTGAATTACACAAATGGCTTTACCTTGTTCGATAGTTGACTGTCCTTCCAGTTTCATAAAGATTTCATTTAGAGTTGACATGGAAATGTCATAACCTGTCACTCCCTTGTCAGAACACTTGTCCAGATTACTGAAAAGATCTAAGGCAAAAAATATGAATAGATACTTTGAAAAACCACATCGAGAACTAAACCAAGTAAATTAATACTTATTTAAAAGATGATACATAATATTGTTAAGAAAATTATGTCTTTGGAGTATCACAGTAGTCAAAAGCAAAATTTCATGAGAATCCTCTCCTTCTCTGAAATAACTAAGGAAGACCTCTTCCTCCATCCTCAAACTGTCTCACTTCATCTCCCATTCTCAGTTTATGAGCTTCCTGTAGATTTCCCTGCAGAAATCTGAACAATCAGAAAGACCATTATCTTCTCACCTCCACACTACAAACCCACGTATACCTCTACCTATATTCTGGGTCTTCTTTCTGTATAAGTCTTTCAATGGTTTCTCAATGCATTTAAAATAAAAATCAAAGTCAATAACACAACCTCTGAAGCTCCGAAAGAGCCTGTCTCCATCTATCCATACAACCTTACCCACCTCCACTTGCCATTCTGCTCCCTCACTCATTGCCCTCCAGACATCCTCCTTTCCCCTAGACTTGGAGTGTTCTTGACCATTTTCTTCTTGTGGCCTTCAGTGGTCACTCTATATAAACCTCAGCCAGACACCAGTCATCACTCTAACTCACTGGCCTTGTTTATTATTTTAGTGTACAATTGTTGAAAAATTTGTATATTTTGTGTGTCTACTTTTCCCTATCTAGTTAGATGTAGGCTGTGGTATTTCTAGTTGCTGGAGCAGTGCCTTTTATATAATACTTTCCCAGTACACATTTATTGGCTAATTCTTTCATGGAGATACTTGGATGAGATGGCAGGATTCTAGAAGACTCTTAGATGCTACTTTCTAGTTTGGGTGGGAGGATGGGCCAATGACATTATTGAGAGGAACTAGGTGGATGAGACTGTAGCATACACTGTGTTTCCCTATGACCTGCACACGGCAGCAAGGGACCTGGGAGTCTCATGTCCTGAAAAGGATATAAGCATGCCATTCGACTAGCAGAGGCCTTGGGTCTGTGTAAAGAGGCTGCCATGGGCCGGGAGGTCAACAAAGTAACTCTGGCAAAGTAACATATTCCAGTAGTGGTACCAACTTATAAATCCTTATTCTCCTTCTCTGACCAAAAATGAAAGTGGACCAGTTGCACCTCACAGGGCCTTAGTCCAAGAACAAAATAATATGGCATAGTCCACTGATCTGAGAAGAACACCATCTTCTATGCTACTGCAGGGACATAGAGAGCTGCCACACTGGGGAGTGAAGCTAAAATCTGGGAATTCCTGCGTATTTGCCTAATGAAACTGAATTATGTAAAAGAGCTTATTTAAGGCAGGTATATAGGGAGTTATACCTTTAACAAACTAAATGTTTAAACCAAAGGGAAGCTGTTTAAATCAAAAGACATTGAAATACATTTCCTCATTTGTAAGATAGGGCAAGTTATAGCACCCATCTCATAGAAAACACAGTTGTGAGAACTAAAGGAGTTAATATATACGAAACCATTAGAACAGTGCCTAACATGTAGAAAACATTACACAAAGAGCTAGTAATCTTTAGGATTGCTTATCAAACAAAGTCTGAATGGGTGCTGCTACCCAGTTGGCAGGGAACCGAGGGTTGAACACTTTTGTAGACTACGTAAGTTGTTTTTCTCTGCAAAATAACACATGCACAATTAAAATAGAGAAATCCTGCCTTATCCACAGTTTCATTTTTCACAGTTTCAATTATCCACCATCAACTGCTGTCTAAAAACATAAAATGGAAAATTCGAGAAATAATTCATAAGTTTTCAGTTGTGTGCCCTTGTAAGTAGTGTGATTAAATCCTTCACCATCCCATTCCATCTTGCTCAGGCTCAGGACATGCATCATCCTCTGTCCAGCAGAACCATGCTATACCCACCTATCACTTAGTAGCCCTCTGGGATATTAGAGCCACTGTCATGCTATTGCAGTACAAGGCACCCTTATTTTACCTAATAAGGCTCCCAAAGTGCAAGAGTAATGATGCTGGCAATTTGGATATGTCAAAGAAAAGCCATAAAATGCTTTCTGTAAGTGAAAAGGTGAAAGTTCTCAACAAGGAAAAAAAAAAATCTTAGGCTGATGCTAAGATCTAATGTAAGAATAAATCTTCTGTCTGTGAAATTGTGAAGAAGGCAAAAGAAATTCATGCTACTTTTGCGGTTGCACCTCAAACTGCAAAAGTTACAGCCACAATGCCTGTTAAGTGCTTAGTTAAGATGGAAAAGGCATTCAATGTGTAGGTGGAAGACATGAACAGAAATGTTTTCGGATCGATGGCAATTAGGTTTGGTTCTATCCACGGTTTCAGGCGTGAACTGGAGATCTTGGAACTATCTATTCCTTGTGAATAATGGGGGGCTACCTTACAAAGAGAAACTTGTAGCAGAAACCTTTCTGCCCCACCAACATCTCTTCTGGATTCACCTGGACACGGTAAATCTACTTATTAAAAGCACCTGCCTGAGGTCCTTTTTCTGTACTTGGAAGTATTCTAAGTTCATGTTCAGAGTAAGCCAGATGGATGAAAAAGTGAATGCTCTCGTAGGCATCCCTTAATCAACAATGGATGGGGAACAGTGGGTAAGAACCCCAGCTTACTCACCCCTCTGGTGACAAAACGCTGAACCCACTTATTTCATTTATTTTCCTTCCATGGGCATTGCACCTCAATTGTCTACCACAGTAATCTGCTCCAGAATCCAGAATTCAGACTTCCCTGGCTGCCTTCCCTTCCCTCTCACCTGTCCCCATTATCTGCTGGTGCTTCAAGGAAGCAACTACCCAATAAATCAATGGCACTCAATCCTTCCTCTCAAGTTCTGCTTCTCAGGTGGCCAAAACTAAGAAAAAGTCTAAATTAATTAGACAAAGAAAATTACTATAATAATAAAGTGAACATTTTTTCCCAAATTTCATTTATTGTAATCATAGTTGAGTTACCTGGAAATATGTTTGTCCTTTCCAATGGCAAAGTATATACAAGCTTTTCTTTGTGTTTTGTTTTTAATTTAGCGTCGGGGATGTGATGAGTAATGAAGGATGTTATTTGTTCTGGATTACATATTTCATTCCTGTGTAAACTAATATTTAAAAGAAAAGACAAGTCATTTGCATTTTCTCCACCACTACCACAAAAGAAGAGCTGTAATTGAACACCTAGCTGTAGAGCACTACTTTGCTTGGCTTTATGAAACAAAAAGATGAGTAAATTATAACATGATAGTAATCTATCAGTTTGAAAATTTTATAATCTATATATAGAAAATGTATAAGCTCAGAACAATTACAAATATACAAACAAATATATAATGTAAATTAAACGATACAGAGTTTTATATGTATAGTTATAGATAAATGGAGGAAGGTGAGAATGTTAGGAAGAAGAGACTTCTTAGGGAAAATAATTATTATACCAGACCATATCATTAGCTAGTAGAGAAAATCTGGCCCACATGTATGCTTTGTTTGACCATAGAGTTTTTTAAAACAATATTTTAGCCTGGATATACACTGATATGGTTTGGCTATGTCCCCACCCAAATGTCATCTTGAATTGTAGTTCCCATAATTCCTACATGTCATAGGAGGGACCCGGTGGGAGGTAACTGAATCATAGGGGTGGTGACCCTCATGCTATTCTCATGATAGTGAGTTCTCATGAGATATGATGGTTTTATAAGGGGCTTTTCCCTGCCTTCACTCTGCATTTCTCCTTGCTGTCACCATGTGAAGAAGGGTGTGTTTGCTTTCCCTTCTGCATGATTGTAAGTTTCCTGAGACCTACTCAGCCACGCTGAACTGTGAGTCAATTAAACCTCTTTTCTTTATATATTACCCAGTCTCAGGTATGTCATTAGCAGCATGAGAACAGACTAATATATACACTTTTTTGTTAGCCACAGTTATCATTACTCTCTGCCCCTAGATTTCTCCTTGTTGATACTGGCTTCTGAAATTATTTGCCTTTTTGCCCTATGAAAGAATGAAAACACATTCCAGAATTATACGGATCGGCTAAGGAAAATGACAGTAGGAAGAAGGTAGAGGTTTAGGCTACACAGAACAGCTACCTGGAAAAATGGTACATGAAGTAGTCCTGCTGTGAAAAGTCAGGCTTGGTTTATCATGTTGAAATGTTGCCAACGATTAACATTGTAAAGACACAGGAGGAAGGAAAGTAGGAAAAGTATTCAGGAAACACTGATCAATCCAGTTTGGTAGAGATGAAGCATGAGGCCAGTTCTGTTTCATAATTGTCCAACTTTTTCATATACCAGTATTGAAAACACACAAATCCAATCTATTCCCAAAGCCTTTACCTTAGGTGATATCCAAGACCCCACCTTCTTTTCAAAAAGATAGAAGAACCTGCACACTTCAGTCTCCCATTGGACATGATCACTTTTCTATCTGAATGAAAGAAATCAAGTGAGAAAAGACATTCGGGGTCATTCATTTCTTCCTTCTCTAGTAAAGAAAGATGAGGAGCCAATGCTCAGAAGTGCAAAGGAGACGTATTCAACAGGGTATAACTAGATCTAGTGTGCATTTTAACATTTGAAATATACATTAAAATTGATGCATTTAAAATGAACTCATGATATTATTCAACCATAAAAAAGAATGAAACCATGTCTTTTGCAGCAACATGGATGGAACTGGAGTCTATTATCATAAGTGAAACAACAGAGAAACAGAAAGTCAAATACTGCATGTTCTCATTTATAAGTGGGAGCTAAATAATGGGTATACATGGACATACAGTATGGAATAATAGACACTGACGACTCAGAAGTGTGGAAGAGTCAGAGGCGGATGCGGAATGAGAAATTATTTAATGGGTACAATGTACATTAATTGGTGATGAATACACCAAAAGCCCAGACTTCACCACTACATAATATATCCATGTAACAAAACTGTATTTGTACTCGTTAAATTTATACAAATAAATTAAATTAAAAATAAGCTCATGAACACCAGTCTATCTGCACCTTCCAACACTTTCTGAAAAAAAAAACCACATAAATTACATGGTATACTGTATACTCTGATGCTAAAAAATGAGTGACTATTTTTCAGCTAAGTATATATAAAAGAAGATTTGAATGTTTAAATTAATTGATAGCTGACCTAAAAAAAAAAAAGGGCAATCAGAATTTTTCATTAGTTGTCACTACCTAGCAAATGTACAACCAGAAAGGAATTCTACAGTGGAACTAGATTCCTGTCATCCTCCTGACTGCTATGGAATGTAAGAACATTGCCATCATGAGAGCAGGGCTCTTACCCTGGGAATAGACTTCGCTTCTAAATTCCCCAATTGCATCATGGTAATACTGAGATAAAACCAACAATTACCAGCCAGGATGTCAGCCTCATCCATGGACTGGGTACTAAAAAGGATCACATGATCTGCTCTATGCTGTCTCAGGAGGCTCCACACTTGATCTCTGGAAAAAGGATCCAATCCAGTAGTTGGTTCATCTAAGAGCAAAATCTACAGAGAATGAAGATACATAAAATACGTCTCTCATATTAACTACATCCAGATGATAGCATGAAAAACAATAAATACCATAAAATAATAACCATCCAGTCATTTTTCTCCAACATATTTCTATTTATAGTTAAACATAGCAGGCTCTCTCTTGATACATTACAATGAAAGCTCTATCACCTTTAGTGGTAAAAGAACTTGACATTTTGCAGACATTCAACCTGCATCCTTCCCCATGCATAATCTAACTTACTTGAGGATCTCCTAAAATGGCAATTCCAAAAGTCAGCTTTCTTTTCTGTCCTTCACTTAAATGTTTGGCAAGGTTATCTTGAATGCTTTGCATGTCCAATTCCAGTAATATTCGTTGTACCTATATGAGAAAATATACAACTTTTAAAATCCAAAATGGTTCATATTATGCAATTTTAACCGCTCATTAAAGCAGTCGATATTTGTTATGGGATCTCTTTGCTTAAATTTTATTCATAACAAGGCATATAAATCATTGAAGAGAATTCTGCGGTCATGATTTAATTTGGTAAGTGGTTGGCAGGTCAGTTAATCCAAGCATGCCCTCCTACCTCTTGTTCCACTTCCTGTGGATGAATCCCTTTTATTTTAGCAAACAGGCTGAGGTTTTCCTTCACGGTGAGTATGTCAAATTGAACATTGAATTGAGGACAGACACCAGTTATCTTTCTGATTTCCTCCAAGTCTTGCATTTCAGAGAGATTTTTATTATAGATGGTAACTGATCCTAAGAATGGAAGTTAAAAATAAAATTGGCAAGATAATACGTTTTATTAATATTCATAGATTTCATTTAAGAAAATATTGGCATATATTCACAAATGTCTAAAATGATTTGTGAACAACTACTAATTATTCTTGACATAAATATATGCTTACAGAACTGCACATTTGTGAACACAATTTGTGAACAACTACTAATTATTCCTGACACAAACATACGCTTGTAGAACTGCACATTTACCCTGAAATATCACACGATGGAATAAATAAAATAATTTTATAAATATTGCAGAAATATGAAGCATATTCAAAATTATGTAGCTCTTGGAAACAACTTTAGATAAACATTATTTCTCTTAAGCCATCAAATTTAAAATTTAAAATGAAAGGCATATGCTTGACCTCATTTTATTATAAGACATCTTGCCTTTGAGAAATTTCTTCTTGCTCACCTTCTGTTGGAACAGACAATCCATTAAGAATATTTAGCAGTGAAGATTTGCCAGCTCCACTGTGACCCAGAATTGCCGTGATTTGACCTTCATATATGTCAAAGAGCAAGCCTATTTTTAGAACAAATTATTAGAACAAATTGTTAACAAACTATTAACAGTATAAACCGAAGGGCATTAGACCAGTCTGGTCCCAATATAGAACAAGGCTATTTAGTTTAGTGGTGTATTTCTCAGCATTTCAATACTTTAAAATACACAATATTCAATATTTTCCTAACTGCCAAAATAATATGTGACAAAACTGTAATAATTAAAATAATATGTCACTGGTGCAGGATATAGTGACCAATGGAACAGAATAGAAGTCTAATGTGGACCAAAGTAAATATAAAAATAGAGAGTAATAAAATGACCTTTCAAACTTATTAAAAAGATGGTTTATTTAATGAATAATTCTGGGACAACTAAACAAATAAATTAACAAATTGTATGTTTGTACATTTTTTTTTTTTTTTTTTGCGACAGGATCTCATTCTGCCACCTAGACTGGAGTACAGTGGAGCAAGTGGAGCAATCACAGCTCACTGCAGCCTCAATCTCCCACGCTTAGGCAATTCTCCCATGTCAGCCCCCTCTAGCTGAGACTATCGGCCCACGTCACCACACTTGGCTAATTTTTGTATTTTTAGTAGAGACAGGGTTTCGCCATGTTGCCCAGGCTGGATTCAAACTCCTGAGTTCAAGCAATTCACCCACTTTGGGATTTACAGGGATGAGCCACCATGCCTGGCCTGTAATTTTTAAATGGAAAGTATATAGTGTTTTCCAGGGTAAGAGGGAAGTGATACTGGCTGTTGGGACTGACACATAGTAACTGGAAAAATAAAATAGAAGCCTCAGTTTTCTCATCTGCAAAGTGAGAGATGTATTAATATGTCTTTCACAGGCCGAAATGTAAAATGGTACATGTAAATCACTTAGCATAGTTTCCAGCACACACCAAGTCCTCAATGAAATCTAAGTGTTTATTGCTATTGTTGTCATTGTCATTACTATTCATTATGTATTGCTTCTGGGAGTATGACTTTTTATAATTCTCGTGGGAAATAATTTGAAATATGAATCAAGAATCTTGAAAGTATGCTTCCTTTGAATAATTCTGCTTCTAGAAATTTATATTCAAGAAACAATTTATGACATTTACAAAGACTGAACAAGGCTGTTCATTCTACTATTTTTTATTACACTAAAAATTGGAAACAAACTGAATCTCATACATTGGTGTGTTAATAAGTTAATCCCGGTATCCATATAATGGAATGCTATTTGGCTTCTGAAAAATAGGCCATAGATAAAATATTTCAAAAGTGCGTCCCAAATGTGCTGCAGATGTGCTCCAGAAACTAACTCCATGAGGAAGGAAGAGGAGGCTAAGGGAATGCAACCCCTTCCCTGGTTTCCCAAAGAGCAGCTACACTTGGTTTGAATTTATATTCACATTTTTAATGTATTGATGTCCAATGCTTTTAATTTTTTAAGGTGCTGCTATTTTTAAAATGAACAAAATGCTTAAAGACGTTTTTTGTTTAGACAAAAAGAAGTTCATGACTTGATGGAGTGCAAAGGTAGTTCAAAATGTGTTCCAAAACTTTAAGTAATTGATTTAAAATTATTTCAATATATCCTGAGCTAAAATTAAAGAACGAAATCACAGATCTAGATGGTATTTGATGAGAGAAACCTAGAGAGAGAATAAAATTGCTCATACAAATACATTAAATTCTCAAAGACCTAATCTAAAAGTAATGAATAAGACTGAATTAAAGGATGCTGCATTTATTACAAAATACATGCAATATAAACACAATGGTTGGAGAACTCTCCACTTCTGGAAGGTTCATGGCTCTTCTTTTTCAGCTTTTAAGGCTTCTTTTATAAAAATCATTTTTATTCTTCCTAAAAATCGTTTTTAATAAAGCAAATTGTCCTCCATGAAATGTAGCTACTCACTTTGATGTTTGCTTAAATGTCTGTTATAGAAAACTGTATGCTAGAATATTTTGTATCAAAATGTGTTTTTTCATTTCAAATGATAAATTATGTTTGTAATAGGATATTGGCTTGTGAAATTTAATTCATAGTCAATGGTTTTATTCATCTTGCTTCAGTTAACCTCACCAGTACATATAAACTATGTAAATTCACCAGCTAGTATAATAAAACCTTTATCAGATTTCAGTTTAGATGTTCTTTCCTCACAGTGACAATATATAAAATATTGTTCATAGCAGATTAATCTTTAAAAGCAAAGATAAATTGCATCTTTCATTGTATGATACCATTTTTATAAATTAATAGATCCATGCAATATCTGGAAGAATTTTAGAGTGTATTCTTAATCATGATTAATGTCCAGGTGATAGCATTGGGTTATTTGCATTCTTTTTTCTGTTGCTTATCTATATGCTTCAAATTTTTTCACATCGAATTGTTTCCCTTTTTTATAATAAAGAAATAAGTGAAAGAATGAAATGTTTCAATGTTTTTCTTTACCTTTCAATGCTTCCACTTTTCCAGACTTTCCTTTATATTCCTTCTTAACATTTCTGATTCTGAAATAACAAAAAGGGTGCTTACTTAGCCAACACAGAAGTGAAAATAGCACAAGCCATTAATAGCCCTAGTCATAGTGACAGCTGCAGCCAACCACTTTATGTGAAATAAGGGATGGCATAATCTATTTAGAAAGAAAAAGACTTATTTTTGATTAATCATTTCCCCTGAGGTAGAAAATAAAGGAGTCTCTCTCAAGTTACAATTAAACTACTAGTATTTTGTCTAGAAAAGTAGAATGCTGTGTAATTATCCTCACTTTCTTCCTCGAGTTTTAGAATAGTTGGTTCTTCCCCCTGTTCAAGATCAGCTCATTTACCTGGGGCCTTGAACTGGCATCCTGCATCCTCTCCACGTCTTGCTTATTAGTTTATTAGTCAGACACTCTGGCACCTGCATCTTTTACAGTCCTCCCTAATAGCTCCTCTTTGAACGCAGCTCTACTTTGGACACGATTTGATTTCTCTCCTCCCTGTATTGTACAAAATTCTCAAAATAAACTTGCCATTTTCACTTCCTGACCTTTAATTCCTCTTCAATTGCACTCTGATTTCTGAACTCACCACTCCAGTGAACCACTTCATAATGAAATCATTAGTGACCTCCTAATTATAAAATACAACAAATACTTTTCCATTCTTACGTATTGGATTATAAGTCACTGTTGATGACTTTCTCTTTGTTAGTGGTGACTTAATTGCCTTGCTTCTTATTTTTCTAAATGTTCCTTTTCTGTTTCCTAATAAAGTCCTCTTACTTCATCAGACACATCAGCTTGATGTTCCACAGGGTTCTCCATGTATATGGTGGATCTTCTCATTTGAGACTCTCTCCAGAAGTTTTCTCATTGGATTTTTTGTTTTAGCATCAACCTAATATTGACCCCACCCTTTTCATTGATCTTTAGACTCACACATCTAATAGTTTGCTGGATAGATAGTCTCTCTCTGTCTCTCTCTCTCTCACACACACACATACACACACACACACACACACACACACACACACACTGCTCTTAATCAGTGGTTGTTAATTGTGAATACACATTAGAATTCCAAAGGGAACTGATGCCTGCAAACAACCCTCAGAGATTCATATTATATTCACATTAATTACTTCTCTGCAGAGTTCACAGAAAAAAGATTCACATTAATTGATCTGGGGTGATGAGTTTTTCATGGCAGTAAAGGCTGAGGATTGGGATATTTTAAATGTTCTTCCAAATGAGTCTAATGTGAAGCCAGGTTTGAGAATTAACTGCTCTAAAACTGCATATCCAGAACAGACTTCATTGCATTGTCACCTAAACCCATTCCCCCATCATGCTGGATCTTACTTGGCAGCATGGACATTCAACTATTCTCTTCTTGATTCTCACTCAGATTCATCACCCATCCAACCTGGTATCATTTTTGTAAAATTTAACTCTAAAATAGTTCAAGTCTTGGGTCCATTTAAAAAATTTATATTTTAAAATCCATTTTATTTACTCCTCAATGTTCCTCATCAGCCTCAAAGGGAAAGTCAAGGCTACTTTGTACCACATGAAGCAGCCACTCATGGTCTGTCCAGTGACATCTTTCGGCATCCTCGGCCTTATGTTTTATGTGTCAGGATCACCAAACCACCATTTATATCCTGCATAAAGTTTAGTGCTTTTTGTCTTTTCTGCTGGGTGTGTCATACACATATACATATACACATACACATGCACTCACACGCACATATGTACATATGCACAAATGAACCTTTTTATCCTTTTTATCTGTCTTATTCTTAAAAGAATGTTCATTGCAACATCATTTGTCAGAGCAAAAAATTAGAAACAACCAGAGTATTCTTTAATGTAAGAAAAGATAAATAAAAATGGTAGACTCATATCTTAGAATATTTTTATATAAAAATTAAAACCAATGCATTAGCCCATAGTTATCACTATGAATAGATCCCAAAAAGCAAAGTGCTGAGTGTAGAAGCAATATGTAGAAACTTAAGTACAGTCTGATACTATTTATAGATTATAGGAGATAAAAACACACAGAGTTATATCACATATATCTATATCACATATTGTTTAGAGCTATAAGTGTATGGTACAATATGTAAATATATGAATGGAAAGCGGGAACACCAAATCCATTATAAAGGTCAATCCTGATGAAGCAGGGAGAAAATATTTTAAAGAGATCAAAAGGGACTTTAAATAAACATATAATATATCCATCAAAAATACAAAGCAAATATGACAATAATGTTTATATCTGTTTAATATGACAATAATGTTTATATCTGTTCAACCTGGATGGTGAATATGTCAGCTTTAAAAGCCTAAATTTATTCAGTAATTTTTAACTATTTAAAAGAAAAATAGATGTTCTCTTCTTCGATTTCCCTGAACTAGGGTAGTTAACACTTCTATTGACTAAATAACAGTAGTTAATATCTCTATCCCTACATTTATCACATTGAATTTCATGTACCTATTTATCTTCTTCCCTAGGCTGTGTGCTCCTTGAAAGACAGTTTATTGTTCATCTTTGCAGCCCTAAAGATTAGTAAAGAACCCAGCAGCAATATGTTTGTTGAATGAATGAATTAAGCAAAGTTAAAAGGTGATGAGTCTCACCAGGTATTTTATTTCAGCATTTCTTTGTAAAATGGAATCCCTGTTGAAGTGAAACTTTAATGTTTTGTTTTAATAAAGAAAATTCCATTTAAGAGGAGCTGGTGTTTCCGGATTTTAGACATGAAATCAGACATTTACATTTGGGGCAGGCAGACATCCTACCTGTGTTCTGGGAATATTGCCTGAATGGTCTATAGTTATAGGAATGCACATATGTGCACACAGTTGTCCCCAGAGAAAATGTGACTTAGGGGTTATGAATGAGGAAGAACCAGTTGTGAATAAAAACTGTATATTTTTACAAATCCAGAATCATGATTCTGGTTAGAATTCTACAAGCTTTCATCCATATCCCTGATACATAGAGCTTAAAGGTTACATATCCTGTAAGCTCTACGTATCTTAGGGGAAGAGTTCCTTTGTATATAAAGCGCTTGTATATAAAGGAGAAGAGTTCGTTTTTATATAAAGCAGACCACACAGGAAGAAAAAAATCAATGCCTTAGTGCCTTTTATATTCATACAAAATAGAATTCACATGTTGGAACTGATTGGAAAAGATTTGACATTGTCTAGAGGTGGGGAAGAGTAACGATGCTACTAAGAAATGATCATTGTGAAGAAAGAAGAGATAAAACTTGTGGATTGGAAACTGCATTTACTGTTGGATGGTCGAAAGGCAGTTTTAGAATGCCTTGCAGCCCCAGACCTGCTTTAACAGTCAGTGAGTGTGTCCCACCTTGTCATTAAAGAGCTACAACATTGACTGCCTAAGCCTACTTTCTCGCTTTGGTGTGGATCAGGGGTGAGGTGCCCCACAATGGAGCCAAAAGCTTTAGTGAATAGTACTTGCATCAAATGACTTTCTTTCCCTGGTTTGCCTTGGGTCTCCACCTGAGCTAAGAATCCAGACCAAGTGACAGGTATGCCTAGTCAACATTGTATACATTGGCTAGGTTTGGAAGCACAGTGGGGGTGTGGGAGAAGAGGGGAGAAGTCAGGGGAAGGTGGGGGTGGAGGACATTTTACTTTCTCTCCTAGGCCACTAGGCAGCAGTAGAAGAACAAAGAAAATTTTGAGGTCTTTGTAAGTAAAAGATTTTGTTAGAAGATTGGATCTCAGAATTACTATAATTTGAATAATAATATAATACAATATGATTTTGTGCCCTCAACTGGTAAAGAAGGATTGATGACACTATAACTGAGTTTTACGGAATTATTCCTCACTTGGCCTTTCTTGTTTGGATGGATATTTTCTATAGAGCTGGTATACTCCTAGCTAGAGCAGAGGAAGGGCTGTTGCCCCACTCAGAAAACTTAAATGGAAAACTGGTTAAGAACTAGATGGAGGAAGCCTAGGTATATGGGTTAGGCCTCTTATTTCACTTCCTAGCTATGGTTCTCTATTTATTCATTTTCTTTTGCCTCCTGACATCTCAATAGTATGTTAAGAGCATAGACTGTAGAGCCAGACTATCTGGATTACAATTCCAGTTCTCCACCTGTGAGTTGTGTGATATTGGGTAAAAGGCTTAAGCTGTCATTATTTCACTTTTTGTATTTTCAAAATGGGGAAAATAAAGATACCTGCCTCATAAGCTTTTTGTGCGAATTATGTGCAAGTCAGGTACATAGTCAGCACTAAGTAAACATCTGTTAATAAATAAACGATTACTATTTAAAGCTCTGATTCATTAACTTTGTACCAAACTTTGTAGAAAAATCTACAAAGCTATTTTGAAATCCATGATACTTGGGTTCAATCCCAAAACTGCTGAGTTAGAATCCCTGGCTAAAAACAGATATTCTAACTGTTCCTCATACAATTCTGTTATATGCTAAATCTCATAACAACCCTACAAAGTCAATATCAATCTTGTTTCATAGAAGACACTGAGACTCATAAAATTTACTCATTTTTCCGAGATTACACATCAAATGAGAGACGAGAGTATTAGGATCTAAGAATTTCTGATTCAGAATTTCTTACTTCTTCCAACTTACCGTATAAAGCCAGATGAAATCACAGAGAGAGGGGTTCACAGAATGAAAGGAGCAAGTATAAAAGAGAGGTAGGCACAAGAGAAAGAGGCAGAAAGGGGGACAAGATAAAGTGTGGGTGGATAATATGATATGGAGCTGATAATCAAGGAGAATTTTCCTTTCAAGTAACAGAAGAAATTGATGGTGATGGAAATGGAGCAATTCGAAGTAACATTGACAAAAACAAATATCTTCTCCTTCAATATTTTGCCTCAAGCTCACCCTGATGCTCTTGGTTAATAATTCTTTAGCCTTGTGCTCATGTATTAGTATAAATTATAAGTGTGATTACCTGATGGCTTCTTTTCCTTGGAATTCAGGAGCTACTGGTTCAAAATAATCATCAGAGGGATGCTCAGCATCAATTTCTTTCTCAATAACCTTATTATCAGTCCCTTGGTGTTGGAAACAAGATGATGAATTCAAGAAAAATAATGGAGAATAATGGCGCTCATCTCCATCTAAGTAATCAAGAGGCAACAAAATAGGATCAGTAATAGTAAAACAATGAGCAAAGAAGCCTTGCTCACAACAATGCAGAATGCCTTGAAGTTTTAAGCATCATAGAGACACTTTTTTCTTCTAAAACTCTATTTATTATTAAGAAGAAAAATTGATAATGAAGTAAACAATCAGAATTCAAAGGAAATAACATATTGCAAAAGTTAAACAATATAATACAGCTTTCAACAAAGTATAAATAAAATGTGATCAAAAAAAAGAAAGTCAATATGAAAGTGAGGTTCAAATAAAATATTAGGTGTATGACCAGCTGAGTTGGACTCCAGCTTTTCCCTGATCAAGACATTAGTACAGATCTTAGAGCCTCTGTTGTCTACATCTGTAGAAAAGGACTCCCAACAAGGAAACCCATTATATCTCCTTTTTTTTCCAGTCTTAACAATGGGTTGCATTATCCTTGATAATAGGCTCATGAGAAAGAGATTTGTATCACCCAATAAACATATTTATTAAAAATTTTTTTAATGTGGTCGAAAAGGTATTTAGGTGAATGAATGAAACCAAATATTTGGGAAAACACAAAGCCTTAGCATAGTACATAAAAATAATTGTAGACATATTTGTGAACTTAAATAATTTGACTATAGTAACATAATTGAATATAATATTGAAACCTATATATTCCTGCTTAGGCATGAATACCTGGAGAAACTGTATTTGTTTAGAATACATTTATAGTAACATTTTAAATATATTTTTCCAGTTTAAAAAATGAGGTTGAATTTATTATTAAGGGCCTTCACATATCAACCAGAAGTCACAGAAAGACAGGAATATGTACAAGTAAATACAGAGAAAACCTGTAAGACAACCTTAAATAGTGGAAGGAAGGTATAAAATAAGAGGATAAACAAGAAGATTGTGCCAGAAAAAAAACTTTCTGATTCTAGAGTGTGTGAAAAAATTCTGGGCTTATGTGAAATTTTTGGTTGTTTGCAAGATAATCTAACAGGGCAATCAATATACTTCTGCAAATATGAACAATATATAAAACATTTTGAGAATGATGCTGAACAAATATTCACGAGAAAGCACTTCCACAGTATAATGGCCTCCCACCAGCCAAACCACCATAAGAACTAATTTATTTTATCTTGTTCTGACACAAGTCCTAATATGACCCTTTCAAAGCACTTTCAGGGATCCATGAATACCTAACATATTTAATTACCACATAATTATAAGATGTATTATAATTATTGTTGTCATACAGTTATAATATACTGTTATAGTAAAGTCGTAAGAATTGTTTTTACAAAAAAATTTCATTAGACCATTAAAAACTATGAAGTAGAAATAATGAACTTATTAGTTTGAAATGGGAAATATTTAATATTCATTTTAAAAGTCTATATAATCTTAAAAAATATATTCAATGTAATTAATAACTATAGAGGTCAGAGAAAAACTCACTATTACTTACAGGGTAAAATTTTGTCAAAGTATAATGCCAATAGCAAGTAGATGAAACCATCCAAAAGCAATATGGAAAAAGTTGCTATCATTGTATATGAGTCTCCTGAAGGGTCAGGAAAAATTACACCACTCAAGTTATAATCCAGTTTGATAATCTAAGATTCAAAAAATAAAAATAAATGTTTAAAATAAATAAATAAATAACTTGGCATAGCAGCAAAAAGTATTAATTTATTAACTAGCTTTTTCAAGAGGCACTTAGTAGTTACTAGTCAAATATTTAATTAAGTAAATAAAGGTATTGGTCAAAATATTTCTATTTTACAGTGAAAAATAATTAGAAATGAACATGTATTTAATAAAAACAATGTTCTAAGTATAAGAATTTAAATTATAATTCATTTGCTTGTTTTCATAAAATCATTGCAATATTACAAATATCTATTCTGGGCAACAAAGGAAATACAAATGTTGGAAAGAATATAATAAATTCTTGGAAGCCTCTAATTATATAAAAAGAGAACTTACCTCCTTTTCTAGTATTATTTCAAATAAAAGTTTGTATTTAGAATTTTGCCATATAATAACAGCAACTATGTTCTAGGCACTGTTCTAAGTGTTTTATATATTATCCCATTTAATCTTCCTTAAAACTCCATCAGATAAGCAATAAAGCTTATAAAAATAGTAAGATTTTAACCTGCATTTTACATATGATAAAACTAAGGCACAGCAAAGTTGAGTAGCCAAAAGTGGCAAAGTGAAGTTAGAACAGAGAAAGTCTTACTCCTAAGTCCAGTTCCTTACCCTGCACACTATACAGCTTCTCAGTCTATGTTAAAATGTTAACATTTTCATGATAAAGTTGAATTTATTCTAGGAATCCAAAATTGGGTCAACATTTGAAAATCAATCAATGTAATTCAACATAAAACAGATTAAATAGGAAAATAATGTGATCAATATAATAGACACAGAAAAAACCATTTGATAAAATATGATATATATTCCTAATAAAGAAAATATCTTCACAAACTAAGAAGATGAATCTTCCTTAAGCTGATGAATTACATGCACCAAGACCAACAATAAGCATCATATTTAATGGCACAACGTTGAAAGCTTTTATTCTGCCTGCATTTCTATTCATTATTGTACTAGAGGTCCGGACCTGTGCAGGAAAGTAGGAAAAAGAAATCAAAAGCATAAGGATTGTGATGGGAAAAATATAAGCCATCATTATTTGAAGACAACATGATTATGTATAATTCCAGTATAAAACTCAGAAAAAATATTGGGTTTAATAAGAGAATATAACAAGAATGTTGGATATAACACCAGCATACAGAAATCAGTTGCATCTCTCTACATTAACAACAAATGTTCAAAAATAAGAATTTAAACATAGATGCTATTTATAATAGCATGAAAAATATCAAAAGCGTCAGAACGAATCAAATAAAAACGTGTAAGACCTCTACAGTGAAAACTAAAACAGGCCAGGTGCATGGATCACACCTGTAATCCCAGCACTTTGGTAGGCTGAGTTGGGAGGATCGCTTTTTTGAACCCAGGAGGTTGAGATTAGCCTGAGAGACACAGTGAGACCAACTCTCTCAAAAATAAAAAATGAGCCAGGTGTGCTGGTGTATGGCTATAGTCCTAGCTACTTGCGAGGCTGAGAAGGGAAGATCACTTAAGCCCAGGAGGTTGAGGCTGCAGTGAGCTGTGTTTGTACACTCCAGCCTGGGTGACGGCAAGATCCTGTCTCAAAATAAAAATAAAAATAAGATAATTATTAACGAAAATTGAAGATCACTTAAATGAATGCAAAGATAGATTATGTTCATGGCTGAAAAAAATTGACAATTTTCTTCAAACTGATCAAAAAATTCAACTGCATCACACTCTTAATAGCTTTGCACAGGCATCTAAGTGTGTGATTATGTAACTTGATAAGCTAATTCTAGAATTTACATCATTGCAAAGAAATTAGAATAGACAAGGCTCTCTTGAAAAAGAGATTAAAGAGGTAAAACTGTTACTGCCAGATAACAAGACATATGATAAAGCAAAACAATTAAGACAATGTGGCCACAGTGCAAGGATAGGCATTTTGGCCAATACATGATTGGTTGAGTTATAATAAAAGAAAGATTGCAATTAATTCAGGGAAAGGATAGTCTAGTTTATAAATTGAGCTGGAGAAATTGGGTATTTGTGTAGCAAAATTAATATTGTCTCTACCTATACACACACAAAAGTTATATTGAAATGGATTTTATACCTTAACGTAAAAGCTGAACCAGTCAATATTCTAGATAAACAGCCAGAAAATATATTTGTAAACTTGGTGTAGGCAATGATTCCTTAAATTGATTTTAAAAAAGCATTCTACATAAAAGAGAAACTTGAAAAATTAGACTTTATCAAAATTACGTATATCTGTTCATCACAGGTACCATTAAGAGAGGAAAAATGCTAGCAACAAATAACGGAAAAATGTCGGATGTTCAACATGTATAAGGAATCCTTAAAAAGCAATCAGGAGAAGATAGAAAACTCAGAGGAAAAATGGTTCAAAGACCTGGATAGGTAATGTAGAAAAAAGAAAATTCATAATCCACTAAGCATATACAAAAGCATTCAACGTCATCAATAATCGGGAAAATGCAAATTAACACTACAATGATATATCATTGCATAACCATCAGAATGACTAAAATGTGAAAGAGTGACAATACTAAACCCCAGTGAAGTGTTAGAAAAACTAGAATTCTGAAACACTGTTGATGTAAAACTAAATTGATGCAACCACTTTGGAAAAATATTTGGTGGTAGCTACTATGATTAATATTTGTATACTCTCAGCCCCACTATTCTGTTTGTTATATTAACATAATGAACAGAATGGAATGTCCATATTCAGTAGGAAATGTGTACTAGAATGTTTGTAGCAGCTTTATTAAAAATGCTCAAAAACTAAAAATTATCATAATCTATCGATAAGAAAATTGATAATATATTAACACAATAGGATGCTACATAACACTACACTATAGCTACACAAAAACTATGCTGCCACCTAAAAACGTTATGTTGAATGAAAAAAGAGAGATCTTCAAAAATACACTTTGTGCAACATCACTCCTATGAAGTTTAAAATATGCAAAACCAAAAATTTTATTTAGGAACACAAACTTAGGTGGTAATGAAAAGCAAAGAAGTGAATATCATAAAATTTTTACCTTTACGAAGGAGTGTTCTGAGGGGTTTGTGACTGGTGGCGACATTCTATTCCTTGATCTAGTTCATGGATACTTCGATTTACTTTTTAATTATCTGTTAAACTATACTTGTGTTTGGAAAGTTTTTCATATTCATAGTTTATACAATAAAAGTAGGTTCATATAAAAATTTTAATAAACTAGCAGATATTTTCATTATGTTGAATGAATAGTAATAAAAGTAAATATTTGTATATAGGAATACAACCTAGAAGAAAATACTTCAAAATGAAAATATATCTGAGAGGTGAAATCTGGAGGATTTTTTAAATTTAAGTTTCTTTGTGAGGTGACTTTTTTTCTACAATGTAATAATAACATTTAAGTTTAACTTTAGAAAAATTGCTTAGAATAAAAGTTCTTAGTTTGAGTAGTGCTGATCCTTCAGGGTATGAAGTTATCTACTTCTTTTGACATTTCAGTAATAAACCAATTAACTAGGCTCTTACCTGAGTCATTCCAGCAGTAAAGGCAAAAGGGCTACAAATACTCAAAATCCACTCCAGAGATGAAGGAAGTTGTTCATAAAATACAGTGAACCCCAGACATCCCCAAAAGAGGGTAAGGAGAAATACAACCAAATTGGTGAGGACAGCTTTCTTTAACAACACACTCATCAGGAACACCAAAGCTACCTGCAGGAGAGAGAAGACGTTCAACTGCTATAAAATATATTTAACTCACTGAGAATCATTGGCAGCCCAATCAAATAAGGATTTTTATATCATGACATAAATATTTATCAGTGAGAAAGTGGTGAAAATATTAAGATATAATGAGTCTGTTCTTTCCTCAACTTCTTTTGAAAGAGGATCCTATTTGTCCTACTCAAATGCAGGGCTTTTGTTGCTGAGGAAAGGGTGGGGGAAAAGCTGGAATAAGAGCTGAGGATAGGGTAGAAATGCAGACTTGGGTCTAAATTAATGTAATGAAGCTAAATTAATGTAAGAAGGAGCATCTACATACTTTCTGCAGAAAACATCCTGGTGGGTGGAAATTAGAGGACCTTGTTCAGAGAATGGAGAGGGGAGTGAAATGAGAAGCGCATATGAGACAGAATATTAGAGGGAGAAGAGATATTGTGACCAGCTATCATGTGATGGGCACCCTTAAGGGAAAAAAAAATGGGGTCCACCCCTAAAAAACAACCTCAATACATACAGAAAAGCCTTTGATATTTTAGAGTCAGCATCATTTTTTCTTTTTGATACATCATTTCATTTGTTCAGACCTTCATGCAAAAGGCAGGTCAAATTTTATTTGGATTACATAATTTTTTCACTCCATAGAAACTATCTCGAGTACACACAAGGACACACACATGCACACACAATGGACATGAAAGTAGTGATTGCAATAACCTACTAGGGCATTAATATTAGCTACATATAGCGAAGATCTAAAGCAGAGAAAGTGGTAATAAATGTATGAACTTACCAAAGATAAGCCATATAAGAAAAAGAGTATAAATATGACCATGAAGCCAGTCATGACTATAATTTCGGTGAATGTTATGATAATTGTAATGAATATGGAAATAATAAAGATGAAGCCAGCATAGATTAAACCCCAGGAGAGCCTAAATAAAGACAAAAAGTTATATAAATTATATTAACTTATTTACAAAATAGTTAATATACACAAAAGCATCTAAAGAACAATGTATGACTACCCTTGTACCTTCTAGATTAATAACTATACTGTAAATCCTACAGCAGAATCTCATTGCATATCCTTTTTCAATCGCAATTCTCCTTCTTTATAATTGCCATTCATTTTCATTGCCTTTACCACATATGCACACAGAGATGATAAATACTGAACACTGCTACAGGCACCAACCAATAAAAAAGGATGCCAAGGCTAGGCACGGTGGCTCACGCTTGTAATCCCAGCACTTTGGGAGGCCAAGGCAGGTGGATCATTTGAGGTCAAGAGTTCCAGACTAGCCTGATCAACATGGTGAAACCCGCCTCTACTAAAAATACAAAAAAATGTAGCTGGGTGTGGTGGTGCATGCCTGTAGTACCAGCTACTCAGGAAGCTGAGGCAGGAGAATTGCTTGAACCTTGGAAGCCGAGGTTTCAGTGAGCCAAGATCACACCACTGCACTTCAGCCTGGGCGACAGAGTGACTCCGTCTCAAAAAAAAAAAAAAAAAAAAAAAGACAAAATTAATTAAGCTACTTGTAAGCACAGCTGGGCCATTGTGCCTTGTTTGTACCTACATGTTAGGCAACAGCTCTGTGTGCGTGTGTTATATATAAATAGTATGACTATTGTATTAAACAGTATCAACAATATCATATGTATGTATTCTTCTGCAAGCTGTCTTTATCAATCAGCATTAACAATATTATACACTGCTGTATAATATTTCATTATGAGAATATGACCCAAAATTCTGCTGCCCATGGAAATTTAGGTTGTTTCCATTTTTTTTTCTATTACAATGCCAAGAACATTCTCGTACTTGTCTTTTTTGAGAAAAATGTACAAGAGTGTTTCAAAGCATTTTGTACCTTCAGCTTTGTTAGATATTGCCATATCATCCTAATTGTAGAATTGTAAGCAACTTAAAAGCCTCTGATCAATCAAGTACCTCTAAAAACACTGGGGCAGTTGATCATTTGACTATCCATGAAAATCTCAGCAGGCAGCACCTCCAGTCTCTTTCATAGTAGAAAATTGAAATTTCACAACTCTACTAAGCCCATTCTATTCTCTCTATTCCTACTTATGATTTCTTCACTTAAATTTGTATAAAGTATGCTGCACCCTTAAATATTTGCACGATTTTGCCTTAGAGGTGCCAGTGTTGATATTTTTATGAAGTGATTATTAAGAAAAAGTATTCAATCTTAGATCTAATAAGACTATAGTGTGTTTTAGCCCAAGTGTCTCATTTTACAAATGAGGAAACTGCAATCCCTATTATTAGTTAAGGGATTTATCTAAGGTCACAAAATAAATTGGTAACAAAGTGCATGAAGATGTAGGCCTTATCTCTGTCAAGAGACCTTTCCTCTACTTAACATTGACTAATAAAATGAGAATTCAGTAGCTGAAGCATATAGCACAAGTATTAAAATCAGGACTTTGCATCAACATGTCCCAATAGAACATGTTTACACTGGATTTATTGGTTATTTGACTTCTCTTTAAATTTCACGCCATTACAATGATTAAGCCTGTGTTAGAAACATCAGCATTTTTAAAAAACATATCACATTCTGTAAAGCCCACTTCCTGAATCCAGAAGGAAACTACTTTAGGTAGGAATTGAAAAACCACAGGATATGAAAATTGCAAATGAAAGAAATTACCTAGAAATTGCCACTACTTAGAAAAAGGAACCACTTGCAGGGGTGGAGTGGAATAATAAGTTATAAAAACCGTCTTGCTAAAAACAAAGCAATTCAGGCATTATACTTAAAGAATAAATACTGATTACATTTCACATTTATTACATTAGTAAAAAGAATTTGTCATAAAGTTTATTTCCACTAGATGCCCTGCACTTAGTAGAAACATTTCAGAATCTTTTTTGTTCTTAGTTTTAAGCATGCATATACGAATTTATTTTGCTAAGTTTTTAGGTCGCATACATACTAAGAATCACTTATCCTGAGAATGAATTCACACCCAAATGTCCCATACCTTTCTGACTTTAATATAGAGTTGACTCATGCCTCCCTGGTCTCAGGTGACTGCAGGGACACTGTGCCATAGGACATGCCCTGGACAGAAAGCAGGTCCCTTTTACAGAAGTTCCCTCCTGATTCCATGGGAGGCTCTATGTACATTATTTTGTATTTCCCGAAGTTCCACTGCAAAAACTTCTCCTTCTCTCTTTTTTATTTGAAGACACAGGTTCCTCTTTTTCTATCTTACAATTTATGTATATTAGAATTAAGATTCTCTCCATTAATAAAATATATTTTATAGAAAATTAAAAATTTACTGGACCACAGTTTCATTTCAGGTAACATGTGGCTCACAAGGAATTGTTCAATTCATAATTTCTCATCCATTCCAGGTAGTTCCAAAACCGTAAAGAGTATTTGCTTCATACGGGGAGTAGATAGAAAAAAATCTCCCAGGATTTAATGTAACAAATGTTATATTTCTTTTGGGGTAAAATTAACAAATTATTTTTCCTTTTTTACTTTCTCTAGGCAGACAGTATGAATTTTGTCACTGATAGTATTGCAAAAGCCTTTTGGAAGCTTGGAGCTTGTATGATTTGCATTCCTATCTGCTAATCTTACTTACTGATTATTTGCTAGGTCCTTCTTTTTTCTTTTCTTTTTTTTTTTTTTTTTGAGATGGAGTCTCACTCTGTCGCCCAGGCTGGAGTGCAGTGGCGTGATCTCAGCTCACTGCAACCTCTGCCTCCCAGGTTCCAGCAATTCTCCTGCCTCAGCCTCCCAGCCTCCTTCAGCCTCCTAGCTGGGATTACCAGCACATGCCACCATACCCAGCTTAGTTTTGTATTTTTAGTAGTGATGGGGTTTCACCATGTCAGTCGTGCTGGTCTCGAACTCCTGACCTTAGGTGATCCGCCTGCCTGGGCCTCCCAAAGTGCTAGGATTACAGGTGTGAGCCAGTGTGCCTGGCCTATTTGCTAGGTCTTTATTTCTACTCCTAATTATTTGTCTTTATTATAATACAAATACATATCTATCTACCTACATACATACATGAGTGTGTGTGTACATATATATGTGTATGTATGTGTACACCTGCTCGTGTATATATACATACATAATGTATGTAAATATGTACATATAGCACATATGTATGTGTACACACACTCATTATTTCAAAATCACTAAATTATATGTGGATTGGGGCAAGATATAAATATCAGTATATAAAGCAAATGCCCTTACTAAGGCCTTCTTACATGCCAGCCTTTGTGTTGTATGTCCTAGGTATATTGTGTGAGCGCTCTCATTTAATTCCAACATATAGTATTTACTTGCTCCAAAAAAATCTATGCCTTGTGGCCAAACCCCTGTACACAAGTCAACTTTTATAGGATTATAGGATTATACTCTCTTCAACATGAGAAAATCTGGAGAAATCAACTGTTAACTGTAAGGAGACCAGGCGAGCAAACAAGTTGCATTCAGGGCACTTGGGTTGGAGTCTCAGCTCCAGCACTTACCCTTCATCTCACATTGGGCAATTCTCTTATTCTCTTTGAACTTCATTTTCCTTGCTTATAAAACAAATGACAGTTCCTCTATGTCAGGGTTGGCTTAAGACATTCATGGCACAGAAAAAGTGCTCAGCACATTATAAGCACTATTTTGCATGGCAAAATTCAACAGACTAAATAAAAAACTCAGAACAAAAGAAAAAGTAGCCAATGCATCAAGTTTAAACCATGACGCTCTGCAACAATAACACTTTTTCACTGCTTCTTAATTTTCCTGTTTATTAACTTGTGCTACTTGAATTAGTCACTCACCAGAATGCTGAATCTTGGAGACCCATGACTTTCATCAAATTCTTAGACTTTTTTCTCTCTTTTGTTACATTGAGCGATATAAAATATACAAGTGGGGAGAAATGAAGCAAGAAGAAGAAAATAAATATCTCATTGTGAAGAAGATTTTTACTTATGAAAGGTAACGTCTTCATAGTTATAGCAGTAACTGACATCAACTCCTCCATCACAGGGTGATTGGTTGTGATCTAAAGTAGAGTTTAAACAAACATAATTATTATTTAAAAGATAGAAACTGGTGAACTATGAGTAAGCTCTGTGTATTTTACTAATGTCAGTTCTCCAATTTTTCTTACTATATTGTAGTTATGCAAGATGTTCCCAGTAAAGACAACTGGATGAAGGCTACATGCACTTCCCTGTACATTGTATTTGCAGCCTCCTGTGACTCTACAACCACTTCAAAATTAGTTTTAAAACCAGTAACATTGGCTTTAAAGTTTTCAAATAGATATGCAATGTGTTCCTTGGTCTGAATACCTACTTCATTATATAACCACAGGAAAATCTGATTATGTATCATTGCTATGGTTTGAAAGTGGCCCCTCCTAAATTCTTTTTGAAACTTAATTCCCATTGTGATGGTATTAGGAGGGAGGGCCTTTGGGGTAGTGGTTGGGTCATGAGGGTGGAGCCCTCATGAATGGATTAGTGCCTTGTAAAAGGCTAGAGGGAACTAGCTGAGGCATGTTTTGCTCTCCATTCTTCCATCATGTGAGGACACTTAGTGCTATCTATGAGGAATGGACCTTCACCTGTCTTTCAGCCTGCCAACACCTTGATCTTGCACTTCTCAGCCTCCAGAAATAAATTTCTGTTCTTTACAAATTACCCAGTCTCAAGTATTTTATTGTAGCAGTACAAACGGACTAAGACAATTATCTTTCATCAAAATCTTAAGGTCTCTGGAAGTAATTGACATTAATTAGTAGAATTTTTCAATCAAGCACTTACTTCTATAATGGCAGTATTAATAGCTGTTTGTAAAGCCACAAATCCTCTATTCCAGTATTTGGTCAATTTACATGGAAACTCACCATATCCATCCCAGCAATGAGCTGTAAGCACAAAGAAAAGCACAGCCAACATTATGGGATGAGGGCAGTTGGAGAATATGAAACAAGTATTGGAAAGAAAACAATCTAGAGGAGACTCTACCAGTAAACTTTTTTGGTGGTGGTGTTTTGTTTTCGTTTTTGTTTTTGTTTTTGAGATGAAGTCTCACTCTGTTGCCCAGGCTGGAGTGCAGTGGTGTGATCTCAGCTCACTGCAAACTCCACCTCCTGGGTTCATGTGATTCTCCTACCTCAGCCTAATGAGTAGCTGGGAATATAGGCACAGGCCACATTGCTAGCTAATTGTTGTATTTTAGTAGAGACAGGGTTTCACCGTGTTGGCCAGGCTTGTCTTCAACTCCCGACCTCAGGTGATCCACGCACCTTGGCCTCTCAAAGTGCTGGGATTATAGGCATGAGCCACCATGCCTGGCTCACCAGTAGACTGTTAACCACACAGAAAAAGGAGGAAAATAAATGAAAGCTTTTAATAAGGCAATTTTATTCTTGCAGACCACACCCTGCTTAGAAAGTCTTAGAAAATAAAAAGGAGATGAAAGCAAACACTCTGCTCCAGCCATAATGGACTCGTTGTTTCCTGACATTCTCCAGAGCCTCTCGGCAATCTATTCTCCAGGCTATATCTGGAGTGCTCCCCTAATCTTGGAAACCAAATTACATTTTTGCCCTGATTAAAGTGACTCAGTGGCTATTCCTTGCCTAGATTTACAAGATACCACAGGAGGTAGCACTTGAATGACTTCAGCTTCACTCTCCCATTACATTCCTTTTCATGTTCCTTGTTCAGCTATACTGCTCTTCTTCCAGATATAGGAACAGATGTCCTTTCTCACCTCAGGGCCTTCACAATTACCTTTCTTCTATCTGAAACACAATGCTTCTAGCACCTCACACCTGCTGTTCATTCTGGTCTCCCTTTAAACATCATTTCCCCAGGTAAGATTTCTCTAATCCCACTCTTAGGAACCCTTGGCCTGAGTGCCCATGAAACATTTTTTCTTGTACTTGTTCAATGTCTGTCTTTGCTGCTAAACTGGAATCTCACCTGAGGCTGGGGCCTGTCAGTCTTGGTTACTCATGTGCCCTTTGACACATGCATCTGCGTGCTCAAAACATACATATTGGATGACTCTACAATTTTTGCAGTCATCTTGTAGCAGGAACATACGATTGACCTTGAAATAAGTTCAGTAATGGAATGGGCTTTCTTTACTTTCTCATGTGTCATTGAAAGCATCTCTGTTGCCCACTCTCACCTGTTCTTTATGCAGAAAACATGAAAAATGCCATAATATATTTGATATGGAAAGTCACCTGAGAAATCTTCTTCTTTCCAAAGTGGAATGTTATATCCCTGGAAAAATGTTAACTTATAAGAGAAAGTTTCATTAAAGATGATTCCCATAGCATATGGAAAGTTTTCCAGAAGTATTTCATTCATGTATGTATTATTTGGTGCCCCAATGACACTTGTTCCTGTGAATTACAAGGTAAAAATAGACAGAAAATTGTAACAGAGGTTTGCCACAACATAATGTGATATTCAGCTGTTTCCCCATATAATTTCATTAGACTTAAAATCATTTTCCATTTAAATCAAACTTGAACCCAAATGCGAGGGGGGAAATTTTCTTTTAATGGTTTAGATTCTACAATCAGAAGACATGCATAAGAATTACATGTTCTCTTTTCATAATGACAAGTATCAGGGCAAGTTTTAAGTACATAAAAAAAATTGTGCCAGATTAAGTATGCATAAGAGAATCAGCGTACAAAAACAGAAGTAATTGTTGTAGTTACTATACAGTCAGGGATTCCTTATTTCAGATTTACCGAAGCAAAGACAATTTACATGACCTTTGCCTTCTGCAGAAAACAAAATTTTTAAAAAGTGACTCTACTTTCAATAGCTAGGAATTTCACTTGTCAGGAATGGAGGATTAAAGAGTAAACAGCCAAACTGAACCCAATTTGCCCATGAATAAAATATGCATTTTGCTTATTTTGGTTACATCATAATGATCTCATTTAGAATAAAGACTTTTAAAGATGTTTACTGATTGTACTACATTCAGAACAGAATAATCATCAGATTATTCATTTCTACTTTTCAAAGTTATGAAATTATTGTTCAATAACCATGACCTATTTTATTTATTTAGATGTTTTTCTCCTGAGATACAAATCTTAATCATTGTATGACATGTTAAAAACACACACAATTTTCAATGACTATATTCCTTCTAGATACTATCCTGCAAATCTAAAAGTATAAATCTGGGTTTTGTTATATTCCAATAGAAATATAGACCCCCCTAAACTGGACTCCCATCAAGCTGAAAATATTTCAAAGACTAATTGTTGTGAGAGAAAGCAATAATCTAACCAGATTTGTACGCTATTTTAATACTTAAGTTATTAGCATAACATATGGCTGTAACTTCAAATTAATGTGTAGACAACTTATCAATAGTATATAAACTTCTATCAGTAATTCTTTTTTCGTCATGAGTACACCTACCTTTCAAAAGAGGAGCAAGTGCTGTTTTATTCATTATCTGCTGGGTTAAATTAGATATTGGTGTGTACACAACCTTTAAAGAAGAGCTATTAAATTTATCTACCCTTCCCAGATTCTGAGGAGCCATTCCAGGAAACTGGACATTTCTCATGGAACTGGAAAACAGAGCAATACACAGTCCTAGAAGTATCGAGAGTCCCCACTCCTATAATGCACAAAAAAAGAAAAATAAGGAATTAAGGTTGCATTCACTTCAAGATCTCAGTCAATACCAAATACTGTTGAAAACAAATTCCAGTTGTGCTATACAGTTATGTTCTCTCTGCTCTCCAAGCCTCTGAGCATGGAGAATCAAATGAAAGATAAATACTAAGACAGTAGCCACATTTATCATTCTCTAATACTAGAACAAAACTTTTGCATTAAATCATGAATTCCTGCAGAAGCCCTCATAGAAACTAATGGAGTGAATAACAGGATAACAATCTCTATATGCATGGACAGCTGACTATAGAATTTATAAGACATGGAGTATCCTAGATAGAGTTTGTTGGCAAATAGCAATATTTTTGCCAGTTGTCATATCCTTGTATTGTAAACTAAAGAACGTGAAAAGGAACTGGCTGGTGGAGGCTACTAATATTGCTGTTCACCAGTGTCAATCATCATTACCTCTTTCGCACCATGCTAGACTACATTCTCAGCCTACTGAAATTAAGTGGAACCAAATGATTTCCTGGCCCACGGGATGTGGGCAAAAGTGATATGTACCACTTCCAGGTCTGGTTCATGGACATATACAAATTTCTATATTCTCACTGTCTTGGTCCCACTGTTTCCTGATGTTCTGACTGAATGCAGAGGATCCCCTAGAGGTCTTCAAGGTCCAGGATGGTGGCGGAGGCCCTGGATGAAGCCTAGGTGCCTGAATGATTGTGTGGAGAAGATTTCTTCACCCACCCAACCTACTTTACTTCCACTCTCAACTTTCATTAGACCATGAGGAGTTAAAAATAAACATTTGCTGTGTTAAGCCACCGAGATTTAGGCTAGTCATCTATGATTAGCCTACCTGCTTGATGCAAACTGACTATCAGTGGTGTTAGTTGATCATAATTCTTAAAAACAATCTTTGTGTAGAAAATTCATGTCCTTGAAAATAAATCCACAGAATTAAAATGTCTCCATTTCTCCTGGCAACATTTTTTTTGTACTTCTTGGCTGTAAGTGTATGACATTTGGTAGTAGCTCTAGCAGTTGCTGTAATTTATCATATAATTAAATGTTCACTTAATCTCTTTTTATATGAGTAATTATCTTAGTCTTTAATTATGTTATTCTTCAGAGACTGTGGTGAGTCTCTCAATTCAACAAACGTAACTAGAGAGAACTGTAAAATCAATAAATCCCATTTGCTAGTCAAAAGAGAACTTTTGCATTAAATCATGAATTCAAAAATATTGCTATTTGCCAACAAACTCTATCTAGGATACTCCATGTCTTATAAATTCTATAGTCAGCTGTCCATGCATATAGAGATTGTTATCCTGTTATTCACTCCATTAGTTTCTATGAGGGCTTCTGCAGGAATTCATGATTTAATGCAAAAGTTTCATTTTAATGCAAAAGTCAATAGGTATTGAAACACTGTAAGAGTGCTAATTGTGGAAAGAGACAAATTTTTAAACATACCAATAAGCTCTCTCTTTTCATCCTCCATTTCTTAAGAAAATTCTTGCACAGAAGTGCTTTAGTTTGCTGATACACACTTTTCTGTTTCATATTCATTTAGGCTATTCACTGAAGGAGAGAGTAATCATGGTGGAATACAACCTAGAAAAAAATAAGTGTAATAAGGGAAACCTTGATCATACTATTGAGGAAAATATTTACTACCTTTAAAAAGTGTAAACATAAATTTAAAATACTATTTCAATAATTTATGACCGTAAAATTTCACCTTAAATATTTCACCTTAAGCTTTTTAGGGGAGTGGGTGATGGTGGGAAGGCAGAGTGATTATTATCACAATTTTGCAATAAATTGGAGAACTGATATGGAAAAGCTGTAATTCAAGTTCAGAACCTATAAGATAATTTCACATTTTTGGCCTTGTATAAGAGAACTTTAAGTACATGAATAGAGTAATTAAATTAATTTCATCCTGTTAATAGCAATATCTTGTTCTTTACATTTAAACAGAAATCTCAGAGCTAATCAAATTAACATCAAAAGTCTGATTACTTAAATTTGTCTGAATAATAAATTAACACTAGATACAACCTCAATAAAGTGTTTTCTTGTAACTTTACTTTCAGATGGAATCAACTTTTATCAAAAGAGTTAGGTTGTAAACCATAAACCAGTCTCAAACTACTTGAAACTTGGTTCTGAGATACAGGAAGAATAAAGCAATTTCTCTCAATTTTCTGAATTCAGAAGTCCCTGAATAACTCAGGAAACTACAAAATTAGTTTTAAAAGAAACAAAAAGAAATCATATGGGAAAGTAATTTTGTCCAAAGGTTTGCAAATAAAGAAACACAAACAATTTGTTTTAGTTTCTGTAACCTCAAAATGAAATTCTTTCATATTTTTACATCAAAATATTCAGATAACTCTCTAGCACAGAAGCAAATGTTTTCCATTTTTCTATGTCTTACTGTTACAATCTACACAATACAAAGTGGTTGGGAAGAAGCAGAAAAATTTAGTCTTAGGTCTTTAACATAAAACACATAAGAATTGGGAAACATCTGAAAAACAGATTGATTTTAGCAGTGTCCACCCACATACTTGGCATAGCACAACAAAATAGAACTTTACTTACTGTCAGGAAAATAATAAAAAGCACTCTAGAAACACTGTCAAACCCAGTTCTCTGTTTGTCTAGGTAACGATTACAACTTCTTTATTGCTGCTTCTTCATTTTTTCTTTAAATGGGTGCCTACTCCAGCAGCTCTTACACAGCCTGGTTTCTGGAAAAGGGGTGTAGCCAGACCAAGCTGTACATGATGAACTTGTTTTGTTTTCTGTGTCTCTTTCTCCCTAAGCCAATTATTCTGCAAGGAAATGACTGTTCCGTGGTTGGTTGGGAATAAAAAAACTCTGTGTTTGTTCACTTAGCCTTTCAACTACAGGGATAAGGGAGAAAACAGTAAACGAGGAAAATGGAACTAGTTCTTCAGAAATGATGAGACCAAGATGGAGGCAGGAACAAGAAAGAGTAAAAACAATAATCAAACAAAGCAGTTAAATTTGTATGAGAAATCTGTATCTATTTTCTTTTCACTACTGATGAATAAACACAACTACCAGTTAGTTGTATATTTAACTAATTCAGACTAAGTTAGCAGAATATTCTGGAGCTGATTTTTTTTCCGAATAAAGCTAAGCAATCCATAGTATGCTTTGGAGAAACTCCTAGGATAGACAAATGAAGACTTTTCCACAAATTTATTTCTCCCACCCTCTTCACAGTGGATGAAGGATTTCATAATACACATGAACAAAATAAGTCACTGGTTTGCCAAGGTCTACAAAACATATAAAAAGATTCAGATAAATTTTTGTGCATGAAGACTATAACAAACTGAAATGTGTTCAATTCATATAGCATATTGTGTCTCCCTCTGCTCTGCAAAGAGTTGCAAACTTCTCTTGACCTGCCACAGTGAATGACAAAACAGGAAACCAAAGTCCATGAATTGGGAAATCTCAAATATTTGACATGGCTCCCAATCCACAGATGTTAATGATCATAAAGCTGAGAAACTTTCTGGAGCAAAGCAGATAATTTAAACAACAACAACTACAGTTATGATACTATTATGTGTATACGTGTGTGTGTGTGTGTGTGTGTGTGTGTGTGTGTGTATGTGTGTATATATAATTTCTCTCCTTGGCAATTACTTCTGTGTTTAAAAATAGTCAACAGTGACATGCCACTTCTTTTACATTGAAAACTGGCACAAACACTGCTAATATAGGTGTTCTAAAGTTCTCATGGGGTGTGGGAAGGGAGGTCATAAACACTCTTAACATTTGGTATTAGGAATACAACAAAACTCAAAGTTACTTTTAAACCACCTGTAATACAATTAAGGTTTTTATGAAAGTTTTTGTTGTTATCATTGTTTTAGACCCTTTATACTTTATTTTAGGAATCATTTTCATTCTACCATTCTTATAATTGTATTAAAATTCACAGCTACAATATCAATGATAATTATTTAGATTAAATATATTTATTAGTTTCATTTCTTACCATTGTCTCTTGTGTATGCTTTCTCTTCCTTTTTCTTGACCTGTTTCCTCTTATTTATTTTCATTTTGGGAGGCCATTCTCCTTATGTAATGTAACAATTTCCCCACAAATGGTGACCTAATATACTAAAGTGCCCAGCCTCCAGCTAGAAGGACATGGAAATGGTGGATAAAATAGATCCCCAAATTGAATTTCCAATATATAGTCAAATTCAAAAAAGGAAGAAAAAAGATGAAGAATGTAAACAACAATGGAAGAAACAAACAAACAAACAAAGACAGAAAGACATGTTTCCAGGTGTTAAAACTGAAAAGGAATTTGAAGTTTCCCTAAAGTTGTGAGTGGCATTTCAGATACTCCAGCAGTTGAAGGATATATTGGACTGAAAATCAAACCTCAGGTGTTTTAATGACCCTGTGTCCTGAACTTGGTCCTTGAAACATTAGTAAGCTGGAGTTCATATTCCTGGGAATCCAGAGGGTTTATAGGACTGTCCAGTGCTAAAAACAGACTAGGAAAATTTCACCTACAACCTCAGGGAAGAATAAAGCTGTATTCTCTGCCCAATTTCTGTAAGACAGACAGACAGACAGACAGACAGACAGACAGATAGATATAGATAGATAGATAGATAGACAGACAGACAGATAATCACCCATAGAAAATGAAACCCCAAAGTATGTAGAGCATGTATCAGGTACAAGAGACAGGAGAAGAATCTGAATTTATTCTCCCAGCATAATAACATGTCCAGAGATGTATTATAGGCGTTAGTGTACACACTCTGGAGCCGAACTTGTGTTCAAATTCTCACTCTGCCATGTGCTAGCTGTGTGACCTTGCACAATCCATTTAACTCTTACCCCCTCAGGTTTTTCTACCCCCCAAAAGTGGGAAAACAATAGTATTAATATATATATGGTTATCATAGGGGTTAAATTCATCTATGTAAGTACATAGAACAATGAGGGAAAATTGTAAAAGCTCAAAAAATGTTATGTGCTGCTACTTCCCCTCCTCCTCCCCCCTCCTTCTCCTCCTCTTACTATCCTGGAGTGTCACAGAGAAAACACAAAAAATTCCATAAAGATACATCCAAATTTCAGAACACAAAGCAACAGAGGTAAAAGAAATATTCCTCCCACTAGATAAAGTCATAATCAAAAGTCTACTATGAAAACAAATCAGTAGGACAAACAAATGAGACTATTCGAAAACCCAAGAACTAAGGAGGAAATTATTGTGAGCTAAGCAAGGTCTCTCAAATGTGACTAATACAAAATTCTAAGTAGTAGTATTTTTAAGATATTCCCCTTTTTTTTTTTTTTTATAATTATGTGTGTTTCTTTGGGAACTTTGCTGATTGTTGCACTTAGATTTAATCATTCCGTAGTCTTAAATTTTCTCATTTGGCCAATGATTTTTTCCCATTAATGACCCATATTAAAGAAGTCTAGATTCATCAGAGTGGTGGTTGGACTCTGCTGGCAATTGATTAGGTCAGTAATTCTTTTCTTTTCTTTTTTCTTTTCTTTTCTTTTCTTTTCTCTTTTCTTTTCTTTCTTTCCTTCCTTCCTTTTCTTTTTCGTTTCTTTTTTTTTCTGACAAGCTAACCCCTTTTGTTCCTTCCCCTTCATTTCTCTCTGGAAGACAGACACAAGATTCACCAGAAACAAAAGTCCTCTTCACTTCAGTTACTACCACATTCTGGAGATGGTGTTGGCTGTGTAGCCAGGGTTCTTGGTAGGACTTTTTTCTTTCTGGGTGACCCCCTACACTGGTTACAAGTGAAAAAAACACAACAACAAAATGAAACCACATGGTAGAATGATCATGAGGCTGAGCATTTTCTTCCTTGACTAAACTCTCTGTTCTGTTCAGTGATATAACAGGCTTTCCCTTAGCTGGATCATGATTTCATAAGTCCGCTAGCAAGGTCGAAGAACGTAGTATGGTCTTTCAAATTTCTCTTCACTTTCCACCTTTCCCAATCTAGTCACAGATGTGCTAGCTCTTGGCATCTTTCTTTTGTCTAGCAAATAATTATTTGGGATGCTAACAATATTATAATAAAAGCCTGGGACCTTTCCTGGTGTCATGTTAGCTGTATATTTCTGCCCTCTTTTTTTGTTTATGGAAATGGGCACTTTACTTGGCATTACTGCCAACAGTCTCTAATTCCTTCCTTTCTGGGTAAATTTCTGGACTGCTAGGGATGGAAAGGATTGGTACAACTCCACACAATGACCCAGACATTCTAGGAATATATTTGAAGTGATTATATAGATAATTGCTGTAATGGTTAATACAGAGTGTCAACTTGATTGGATTAAAAGACACAAAGTACTGATCCTGGGTGTGTCTGTAAGGTTGTTGCCAAAGGAGATTAACACTTGAGTCAGTGGTCTGGGAAGGGCAGACCCACTCTTAATCTGGGTAGGCACCATCTAATCAGCTGCCAGCTCGGCCAGAATAAAAAGCAGGCAGAAAAACATAAAAAGGCTAGACTGGCTTAGCCTCACAGCCTACATCTTTCTCCTGTGCTGGATGCTTCCTGCCCTCAAATATGGAACTCCAAGTTTCTTCAGCTTTGGGACTCAGACTGGCTTCCTTGCTCCTCAGCTTGAAGACAGCCTATTGTGGGACCTTGTGATTGTATGAGTTAATACTACTAAATAAACTCATATACATATATACACATATAAATATGGAATTATATATATATGGAATAATGTTGCATGTATATGTTTGGCAGGGTTCTCTAGAGGGACAGAACTTCTGCAGCATTGTTTCTAACAGGAAAACTGAGAAACAATCTGTATATCTTTCAATTTAGTCTTAACTAAAAAGTTTTGGTACATCCAAACACTGAAATACTAGATACGCACTACAAAAAAAAAAAAAACAAAAAAAAAAACCTGACTTAAACTGACATAGGTATACAATAAACTAGGAAAGTGTGATGTTCATAGTATGATGCTAAGTATTTATATAATAGTAGATATAATATTATCCTGTGTGTATATGATAGAAAAACATATTAGCTAAGAAAGAGTATTTTCCAGTTTAGATTGTATAAACACTATAATTTTTATGGCAAAACATAAAAGAATTTAAAAATTTTTATTTTTTAAAATTAAATGAATTATCCACTTTGACAATTTTTAAGTGTACAATTCAGTGACATTAATTGCATTCACAAAATTGTGCAACCATCGCCACTGTCTAGTTCTCAAATTGTTCATCAACCCAAACAGGAATTCTGTAACCATTAAGTGATAACTCCCACTCTCTCCTCCCCCAAGCCACTAGTAATCTTTAATTTCTTTCTGCCTCAGGGAATATGCCTAATCTATAAATAGATATTCCATATGAGTGTAAGCATACAATATTTTTCCTTCTGTGTCTGATTTATTTCAAGCAAATTTTGTTTTATTACATCTTTACTATAATAAAAAAAATTAAATGGATTGAGACACTGAGACTTTATGGGCAAAAAATGTATATTCATTTTATTTGCAACAGGTTTTTTTTTGTTGTTTTTTTGTTATTGTTGTTACCCAATCCAACACAATCCTGCTAAATTTTCTGATTCATTTGCTTCTGTATTCATCCAATCAATGTTTCTTATTGCTCTGCTGCAAACGCTGCTTGTTGGAAGCATGTGAAAGTCAGCAACCGCATGTCATCTCTGCTTTCACCAGGCCTATCTTCTTACCGCCACTTCTGACTTTAGGGTGGTTTCTGTGGCAGTGGTCCTCCTGTCGCTTTTGGAACAAGACACATTTTCCATTGAAGTTGTTGCTTGCCTGACGT